AGGGTTTAGGTAGGGTTTAGGGTAAGCCCAAAAGCGCTTGAAACCCCTTCAGTTCTAGACCCCAACCCCACTTGGAAAACCCCTGAGCCCTAAACCCCTACAGCCTAAAAGAACTAAAAGCCCATAACACCCTTGAAGCTCTAGATCCAGACTCCCCTTAGACTTTGAGCCCTGAACCCTAGACTGTAAAACCTCAAAGCCCTTAAAAACCTTTAAGACTCTAACCCCTAAACCCTAAACCCGCACAGGCTGAGACTTGGAGCCCTAAACCCTGGACTGTTAAGCCTCAAAGCCCTCAAAACCCAAGGTTTAGGGGTTTAGGGTTTAGGGTTTAGGGTTTAGGGTTTAGGGTTTAGGGTTACAAAACCCAAAAAACTCCAAATCCAAACCCAAGGAGAACCCGGAAAGGATCAAGGCACTGGTCTTTGGAGTAATCGCCGACCCAGCAAACATCGCTGGAGACGTCGGGTGGCGCATAGCCTTGAAACGCCCAAACAGAGTTATTGGAGCTTATATAAAGTGTTTAGCGGATTTAGGACTTTAGATTCAGGGTTTAGGGTTTAGGATTATAGGGTATAGGGTTTAGGGTTTAAGCTTTAGGGTTTAATATAGGCCTTAATAATTAGAATAGGGTTTTGGGGTATATTATACTACCGTTAGAATAAGGATAACCCCAAAGTCCTATTCTAATTATTAAGGCCCCTGCATTAGGGTTATAGGGTTGAGGTGTCAGGGTTTCCGGTTTAAGGCCTTGGGGTTTTAACAAGCCTATAAGTGTTCCGTTAAGCCTAAACTACTCCACCGTTATGGAAGCAGAATGAGCATAGCCTTGAAAAGCCCACGAAGGATTTAGATTTTCGGATTTAAGGTATGGAGTTTAGGGCTTTAGGGTGTAGAGTTTGGGGCTTTGGGTATAGATTTCTTGGCTTTAGCGTCGAAGGTTTCAGAGGGTCCATGGGGAGGGGGTATGTATGTACGTACGTACCTTGGGGTTCCTTATGATTTTATACTTTGACCCTAACGTGCCGGACCGTTAATGTAGCAGCCTTAATAGAAACGTTTTTGCGGGTATAGTCTAATATAACAATAATAAGGAACCCCCAACATAGTATAGGTAATTGCTAAGGCCCCTCTATTAGGCAAGCAGACTGACTTTAAAACTTGAAGGGTTAAGCTTTAGGGTGAAGGGGTTTGGCGTTTTCGGGTCCGGGGCCTGGGGCTACTGGCTTCGGGTTTAGGATGTAAGGCTTCGGGTTTAGGGAGTTTAGGGTTCAGGGTTTGGGTTTAGGGTTGCGGGTTTAGGGTTGGGGCTTGGGATTCAGGGTTTAGGGGTTTAGGGTTGAGTCAGTGGGATGACGGGAGTTGGCCCGTAAACGTCAAGGCTTCCACAGCATCATAACAAACTCCGTCCCACGCAGAGCAGTTCTGACGCTGCTTGGCATCCAGTGACCCTGGGCATAGCCTAGACCCACGGCAGGGCGGAAAAAACAAAACGATAAATCTTGAGCCCACCGGCATCGGGTCTGTTCCATCCGGACTGATACGTTTGTCTGCAGGTCACCGCTTGCTGGCGCACTCGCACAGGAGTTTGACGCCGACCTAAACGAAAAGCACGTCAGTACTGCTGCAAGCTTCCATAATTTCCTTGCCTGGAAAGGAAGCATTCGAATATTTGCGCATCTTGTTTTCCATATCCTCCTGGGTACTCCATCGGTAGGCACTGCTTTTGGGGTGTACTTGGGCCCTAGCAAACCTACATTATTTCGGTTCCTCTCTATGATTACATTACATAAGAGTTTAAGGTTTAAGTCCCGAAATCTAAAATCCTAAACTTTGCCCTAAACTTTGCGTAGGGTCTATTTAAGGTGTCGGGTTTGTAGCCCACCGACTGCAAGGCTCGCGACAGTTTGCACAAGCCGCAGAGCCATTTGCAGTGACGGAGCGGGGGTTTAGGGCGCTTAGGGTTTTGGCCGATTTCGAGAAAATAAGCTGCAACACCACCATAGGATTTGACAGACGCAATTCGCTCGGCAACCTGTAGAACAAGCCCGCGGCTAAGATTGATTCCCCGCAATCCCGAAGTACAGGGTTCAGGGTTAAGGCATTTCGGCTAAAACCGGACCCTAAGGGTCCAAGTGCCCAAATAGTACGGTTTCAGGGTCCAAAAACCACTAAGAGTATGGATTTTGGGACTTAAAACCTTACTATTTGGGTACTCGGACCCTCTGGGGGATGAAGGTGCAGGGTCAGAGGTGTAGGACTTCAGAGCGTAATTACAGGGATAAGGCTGCGGGTTGTCGTAGAGCCTACCCAGCGAACCCCATGCGGTTTAGGGTTTAGGGTTTAGGGTTTAGGGGTTAGGGTTTAGGGTTAGGGTTTAGGGTTTAGGGTTTAGGGTTTAGGTGCTTTGGGGGCTGCACTACAGCTTTCACCGCAGTACGGCCCTCAACCCTGAACTAAACTCCGACTTCCCGAGCGCCTTCAACTCCAACCCTAAACCAAAAAACAACCCTCTCAACCCCTAAATTCCAAAACTCGAAGCCCCCAAACCCCTGAACCCCTAAGCCGCAAAACCTCTAAACCCCTCAACCCCTGAACTCCTAAACCTCTAAACCCCAAAACGCCTAAGCACCAGAAACCCATAGATCCCTTTAAGCAGTCCCGGGGCAGAAGAGCGTTTCTAGGGCCCCCCTTATAATGAAGCCCAAAAATGTAGGGATGTCCCTATAAAATGCTTATGCTTATGTCCTTTTGGGGTACCTAAGTTTCGGGCGTGTTATTGCAATTATGTCTCGCGGCCCATTTCCAGCAGCTGAGTAGAAGCAGAACACAAAAGCCGTTTAGGGTTTAGGGCTTGGGGTTTAAAGGTTGAGGGTTTAGGGTTTAGGGCTTGGGGTTTAGGGCTTGGGATTTAGGGTTTAGGGTTGTAGAGCTTGGGGTTTAGGGTTTAGGGCTTAGGCTTTAGGGTTTAGGGTTTAGGGTCTAGGGTCTAGGGTTGAGGGTTTGGGGTTTAGGGTTTAGGGGTGGTTGTGGGTGGCTCCCACAGTTACGACCTGATCTTTCCTAATCTTAATAATTACCTATGCTAGTTCGGGGGTTCCTTACTATACTTAAAGTATGTTATAACCCCAAACTCTTCCTTTTTATTAAGGCCCCTACATTAAACCCTACGCCTTGGTTACTATGTCATAACCCAAACCTCTTATGCATTTTTCAGGGCCCCTACATTAAACCCTACTCCCTGAACCCCAAACCCGAAGCCCTAAGCCCTAAACCCTAAGCCCTAAACCCTAAACCTCAAACCCGAAGCCTTGGTTACTCCCTGAATCCCGAGACCCTGAATCCATGAAGGTCGGTGTGCTGTGCGCCGGCCGCCGGCCGCTGTGCGCAGCCTCGGTGCAGAGGAAGGGTTCTTCCGGTGTCTACTTGTTTAGAGTTGAGGTCTAGGGTTTTGTTTTTAGGGTTTAGGGCTTTTAGTTTTCATGTTTTAGCGTAATCGGAAAACGAGACCCATCAGAATCTTAACTAAGAGGCAGGGAACTCTCTGGTGCATGACCCTAATCATTCGATATCTGGCTTGCGGATAGTAGTCATGTAAGCTACAAGTAATGTTCTGAGGAGTATATGATTAATTGAGCAGTTGGTTGCTTTTGATGGAGGTTTCGGGGTTTGTTCTGTAATGGTGTTTTATATGCGTGTTGTAAGGCGTTACGAATAAGGGAGCCCTAAACCCTAAACCATAAACCCTTAAACCCTAAATCTTAGCTCTATAAGAAGGACTTAGCAGTCGGATCGCCTCACACTGATACTGCCTGAAGTATCAGACGCTTACCGAATGCCATGGGCCTGCAAGTGCTTGAAACGGAACCCCCGAATACTGCAGTAACCAGTTGTACTCCACTGTTATATAAACGCTAAAACCCGAAACCCTAAAGAACACCTCAACACTAAAAAACCTTCCAGAACCTGTATATATGTAAACTCGGCCGTAAACTCTTATACTCTGAAGCCCTGAAAAAATCGTAGACCACCCTCGAAGCACCCAGTAGACCACCCGTTAAGAACTTCAACAAAATTATACACATACACACACCGTTTACACAACAAAACATCCGCCCTTAAACCCTAAACCTTGAACCGTAAACCAAGAACCCTAGGACCCCAAACTTCGAAATTCATAAGACCCCAACGGAGGGGCACGTATAACCTTATGTGCTAAGTCTGCCAAGTCCCATGATCCTCCAAGCAGGGTAAGGACATGGGTTTAATATACAAGCTTTGATAACATAAACACTTAGATTAGGGCTTTGAGCAGATTATAGTATAGTTCTCACATTATAACAAGGAACCCTAAACCGTAAGGAATATTATTGGTAATTCTTCCGGACCCTACACCGGACTTTGAAGTAGCCCGGGGGAAAAGGCATAGACTTGTGTTTCAAACTGGTTCCGTTAAGGAACAGGCCAACGAAAAACAATTAGAAACTAAACCCTTATGTAACCCTAAACCCGACACCCCTAAAACCCTGAACCCTAAACCCTGAACCCAAACCCTCAGTCCCTAAACCCTGAACCCTAAACCCCGAAACCCTGAACCCTAAACCCTAAACCCTAACAGTCGGCCCTAAATCCCGAAGCAGGTGGCCTTGGCGGTTTCCACGGCTTCGGCGGCCGCAACGACGATATCTTCCTGAGCCTTGCCGTCGGGCTTCTAAGATGTCTGGTTGTCGTGTGTGGGGATTATAGGATCTAGGAGCCACGGTTTAGGGTTTAGGTTTTAGGGTTTAAGGGTTTAAGGGTTTAAGGGTTTAGGGCCTAGGGCTTAAGGTTTAGGGTTAAAGGTTTTGCGGTTTAGGCTTCGTGCAGAACGTACCCCAAGCCGGAGCATTCATGGGCCTGCCTACCAGTCATTTAGGCTACGAGGGTTAGTGGAGGGTTTTGGTCTTGGTTCGAAGGTTTACGGTTTAAACCCATGGTTTACACCCTATAAACCCTTAACCCCACAAACCCCTGAACCCCAGAAGCCTTAAACTAAACGGCCGGAGCAAGGGCCTCGGCATCGCTGCTCCAGGCGCAGCAGCTGAGTAGCACCAAGAGCCTGCAACCAGATCAGGATGTGAAGGCAAGCTTTTAGGATTCGGGGTGAAGGTTGCCGGGAGGATCGCGACCTTACTTGGTAAGTGGGTTTGGGGTTTACGGTTTGGCCTAAGCACTAAACCCGACATGTAGGGACTCCTCACAGTAGCACATCCACAGATCAGACGAAGAGACCCCCGACCCGACTTCACGGTTTATCCTGAACCCTCTGTGCCTCTGTTAAGTTGCCTGCACGAACAAGGGTATCCGTTTCCTACTTCTCAGACTTCAACGGAGGAACCCAATGCAAAACTGGGTATAAGTGTAACAGTGGATGACCAAGTATATACCCCCCCAAACCCCAAACCCTTAACCCCAAAACCGTATGCCCAAACGTTAGGCAAGCCCTCAAGTCTCACAGCCCTGAACCCCTAAACCCTAACTAAACTCAAAACCCACAGCCCTAAACCCGGACCCTAAACCCTGAACCCTACACCCTCAATTCTCACAGACCTGAACCCTGGGCCCTCAACCCAAACCCTAAACCGTTCCAGCCGAACCAAGTCCTGAACTGCGCTAGTCAATAAGTGAATTAGAAGTATAGTAAAGTTTTGTTCTTTCGAACTCCTGTTTCCGATGCCCAGCCGTGTCTCGAAAGGCTACACAGCCAGGACAATCAGCCCTTTTACAGCCTGACTGGGAAAGCAAACATTCTCCATCCATCCACGACTCAAACCCTCGCAATCTCGATTGTCACAGAGGGAACTCTGCTCAATCTCCCCATTGGTCTGCAGCATCATTTGGCATCTGCGACGTTCCACCCTCGGGAGCCTCACTGTAGCAGATCAGCAACAGCCTGGGCCACCTGGTCCTCGCCCACGTCGTGGCCCGGAAGCTCATGTTGGACACGAGCCCGCGAGCAGCAGGGGTCTCCACCAGCGAGAAGCGCTGGAACATCAGACCTAAGGTCAGACTTGCTGGTTCCGTATTTTGTTTTCCCACCAACCAATGCCAACACAAAAACTCAAGATAATTGCAGTCAAAATGCTGCATACCCGGGGGCCACTTTGTCAGCACCCGTGTCTGACCGCCTGCTGAGCAAACCAGGTTCTGGCGCGCTAGCGTCGTCTAGAGGGCCTGGCTTTCCAATCCCACAAATCGACATACTTCTGTGTGAGCTCCAAGAATTCCACAATTTTTTTCTGCTGTGTTAGCTGACACCCGTTGCCCCCGCGCATCTCACAATGCACAACTGCAGGCTGTAGCTGCAGGACTTTGCGTTCGCGCAGGCCAAGTCACCATCGGCCATGTCGGTGTTCATGGAGCCGTGCGGACTGAGAACAATGCAGTTCTTCTCGACTGGACCGTTGACCTGGTCCTGGCCGCAGCCAGGAACTGCATAAGGCACCACACCCTCTTTCCTCGCCGCTGTGGCAAGCTGACTCACGCATACCAACGCAGGTGATCCTACGCGCACCAACCCGTGCTCTTGACTAACACAACCACCCTAGCTTCAAAGGCCGAGGGCCAAACACTTCCATGTATAATGGTATTTCCAGACCACAAAAGACAAGGAGGTTTACTCAAGAACACCCCGCTAGATAATAAATATATATATGTATTTTATAGTGTATAATATATATATATATATAACTATATATCATGGCAAAAGGCTAACAGTAATTAGGAAGGATCTCTTAAATGAGCCTTCCATTGATTTTGAACCGGTTTAGTTTGGTTTACACTGCTCAGGCATTGTTATACGGGCGGGAAGGGCTGGGCCCCCTGATCAGTGAAAGGCACAGCGAAAGGCGCGTGTGCCCGAACATCTTGGCGTTATTCATCTGCGCAGGAGCGAGCGACCGCTCGATGAAAACTGGTTGTTCGGGCCAGTCTGTAGTCGTCTGCTCTACAACAACACTGGCGAGGAAACGTTAAAAGTTTAACACATACATCCGCCACTGATCCATCAGCGGTTCCTTGTCCGGCACGACCGCCGTCAAGACGCAGACGTCTTTGGAGCTGTGGCACGGGCAACGCCAGACCTCAATCGCGCAACGAGAATTTCACACGGGAGCCTTGCACAAGCTCACGTGGCCAAGGCGCGGCCGCGCTCCCCTGGACAAAATCTGTCCCGTTGGTGCATGACAATGCACTGGTTGGGCTTCAGCCAACCGTGGTCATGGCCGCTGATGGCTTTGACCGTGCACGAGTCATTGGATGGGAACATGGCATCGGTAACAACTGCACACGGAGTCAAGAAAGACCCAGTAGAGGCGCACAGGACTGAGGGCGTGGCCACTGCAGCGATGGCTTGATAGTCCACGCTTCAGCCTGGTAGACGAGCTTGGGCTCGCAGGCACTGAAGGAGCTGTTCGTGTCGGCCCGGAAATCATACGGCACGGCATCGAAGCCTGAAAGCACAAGAAAGGGCACTGCGTGTAGCAAAATCAAAAACCTGAAGCCAGTCTCCAAGACCCCGTGAAGAGTGTCAATCACTAGTCCAGAGAGCTTCTCGCGGACTTCGGGGGTGCCACCAAGTAGAATGTGTTCCAGCGCGGTCGCATGCCGCACGGCACAGCTGGACCACATCGGCCACCTGTCCTGATGCAAATCGTCTCTTCAGAGCGGAAGCAAGAATGGCCGACAGAGCTCATCTTCGCGAGAGAAGTCGACGAGGTCTTTTGGAAATACGGCGAACCGTAGCCTCAATGGAGTCGTCGTCCTTGAGTTTCAGGTAACGCACCACTGATCGCATAGCTTCGGAGGAGGATGAAAAGGCAACAGCCTGTCGCAGGCGCAAATTAAGAGGCCTGCCAACCACAGGTTCGAAGAGCTGACATCTCGTTCAGAAAGTACGACATCCAGGGCAAGAAGACAGGAGGGGATTGGCTGGTATTCCAGTTCTCAGTCGGGGCCCCCGTAGGGCCATAGGGCGAGATCAGCAGACATGACTTCCAAAGAGCTGCAATCTCTGTCTGTGAAAGACTCGCAGGTGTTGCCGCCGTACTATCAGGTTCCATGAGTTGAACCCAAGACGGAGGGTCAGTGCGGCAAGGGAGCTCAGCTGCGGTCTCTGAGAACCCGGTAGCCACATCTTGGAACTGCGCCTCAGACTCGGCTGGCATGGGTCCCAAACTGGATGTCGTCGGCGTCGACAAGAACTTTTTCGAGAGCAACTGGTCTGCTAACAAAAGGCTTTGCCAGCTTCCAGTAGCTGTATCCGCTCCAAAGGATGGTAGAAGCAGAGTCTCATTGGTAGCTGGATCGATAGCACCTGGCATAGTAAGGTTTAGGGTTTTTCGGTTTAGGGTTTAGGGTAATAGCAAGCTTGTTTCAAGACCTTCGTGCCGAGGTCCCATGACCCTGAAAACCCTACTGAGCTACGAAGTCCTGCAGGATCCTTGAAATCTTTCTTGGCCACTAAGTTAATTGGCCCTCAAAATCCCAAGGCCTTATAGATCCCTTGTAGAGACCATTTTTCCCTAAATCCTAAACCCTCAATCTTAAACTCTAAACCCTAAATTAAACCATAAACCCTAAATCCTAAATCCTCAATCCCAAACCCGCAATCCTAAACCCTGAACCCTAAATTAAACCACAAACCCTAAACCCTAAACCCTCAATCCTAAACCCTGAACCCTAAATTACACCATAAACCCGAAATCCTACACCCTCAATCTTAAACCCTAAACCCCTAAAACCGCCTGAGAGGCATCAGGACCCTGTGTGCCGGGCGCCATGTGGCCGAAGCCCCAGAAGTAGCGATGAATACGGGGTGTTAGAGGCTTGGGGCTTTAGGGTGTAGGGCCGCTTAGGGTTTTAAGATTCAGGGGTTTAGGGCTTTAGGGGTTTAGGGGTTTAGGGGTTTGGGGTGTTAGGGCTTGGCGTTTAGGGTTCAGGGGTTTGGGAAATTGGGTTTGAGTGGTTTACGGGGTTTGGTGAGTGCGGATAAGGCTCCTCAGGAATATTGAGGTGTAAATTCTGCTTGCCTTGTGGAGATTCGAATCTTCGCTGACTGTTTGCATGAGGTTTAACTTCAGGGGGTTTAGGGTTTTGGTTTTAGGGTTTTGGGCTCAGGGTTTACAGTTTAGATTTCAATCTGTTCAAGGGGCTTCTGCCTAATCATGCTCTGCGAGAAGCTTTGCCGCGGCACAGGGCTCTGCCATGGGAGCGACGTTCTTGCATAATGTAGGGTCTTAATAATTAGAATAGAGATTTGGGGGTTCCTTATTGTAATTATAGTATATGTGATGTATCCCCAAAACCCTAAACCTGGTCAATAAGGCCCCTTATCTGATGCTTCTGGGAACCCTTTAGTTGAAGGTTAAATATCTCTCTAAACCCTCTACCCTATGAGCCTTACTAGAGGTTTAGGGTTTAGGGTTTAGGGTTTAGGGTTTAGGGTTTAGGGGTTTAAGGGTCCTATAAGCCTTACTAGAACCCCTATACAGCCCTCAAAGGAACCCTTATGGGATCCCTTCAAGGAACCCTTAAAGAGACCCTCTCACTCTCTAAACCCTCAAGCCTATAATCTTCGAGAGCCTGGGGTCTGGGGTTTAGGTTTAGGGTTTCGGGCTTAGGGGGTTGAGGTTTAAGGCTTAGGGTTCAGGGTTTAGGGTTCAGGGTTTAGGGTTCAGGGTTCGGGTTTACGTTTTCGGGTTTAGGCGTTTAGGAGTTTGGGGTTTAGTGTTTAGGGCTCAGGGTTTGGGGTTCAGGGTCTAGGGTTTGAGGGCTTTAAGCCAAGCCCTGATCCACAAACATCGAGACCAGAATACCTGGAAGCAGGCCAAACCCTAAACCCCACATGCTAAACGCTAAACCCTAAACCCTAAACCCCAAACCCCCGCAATCCAGAAACCAAAGCCCGAGCCAAAAACCTCCAGAGCCTCAAGGGTTTACGACTTCACGGCTGCACAGATTTAAGCTTAGGGTTTAGGGTGCAGGGTTTAGGGTCCCGGTTTAGGGTATAGGGTATGGTGTTTAGCGCTGCGTAGATTTAAGTTTAGGGTATAGGTGTAG